ACGAGGAAATCTAAGCTCAACTCGGCAAACCTGACTTGACCCGAGAATTAACCTATTGGTCTGTGCGTACGCCGCTCCCGGTGTTTATTCACGTAGAGGAGAAAGATCATATGATCACTGCAAAGATAAAACTGAATCCTTCCGCGGGAACTGTACCTTTCAACCTCGCCCGTAACCCTTACCGGAGGGTCTTTATCGTGAAGGAGATGATTAATGGCTGCAAGAGAGGCAACCAAAGCTCGGAGTCCGCAGGCTCCCACGCGAAAAGAATTTGCCTTTAGATTGATTATGCCGATTCTTTCGCTGTTTGCAGTAGTAATGATGATAATGAAAGCCCAATTCCGACTCAGGTAAAGCAGATGGGCCTTCATTAATACTTTGTTTAAAAACGATGAAAGATAAAGTTTTCGTCGCTGATTAATCCCTTTTTGAAGATGAGGACACCCATTCTACTTCCACTAAGAATCGTGGCATTTTGAATGGGGTGTGGCCTCTATAATGACCTGCGTAGGCTAGCTAATGTGAAAGTCAGTATTATTCTCCTCCTGGATGAGTTTGTTACCATCTATTGGCTCCGCAAGGACGGAAATTTCGGTAATATGGACGGGACGTGGCCCTAAAGTGCGATCGTAGTGGCCACTGCACCATGTCTCCTTCAGTTACTAGATACTACTTGTCAAAATATTCCATTCAGCTCAGTAGATCAAATTCAATTTTTCAGCGTGAAAGTGGTCCGTCGCTCGTGCTCCACGGCAACATTACAGTGGTTGCGGTCGGCAGATGAACATGCTGAGTACTGCATTTACATGCGTCGCGAGAATGCCAACTACCTGGAGGAACTCGTTAGTAAGGTAGGAGATGATCTTTCGCATATAAGATCGAGCCCAAAAAGCAATTTTATCGCATTCTCCATACTTTTTGTGCAAAGCTGTATTCCTGTCAGTAGTATGCGCTTTTTTATCGACCAGGCAGTTCATGCTGTTGCTTGTTGGCCCTGCTGTATGATCATTCATTGACGTGAGCTAAACGTCGTGACCGTGTGACCCTCAGTGGGACCGACTGCTCTCCATATGGTCCTGTGGTCCAGTGTACCAACTACACCACACAATTAGATGCATGGTGACAAGGGTGCCTCATCGGAAACTGTGAAATGTTTGTGTCGGTGGGACTTCTCACCCCCTCTCCTTCCTCTGAAGGAGTATCTCGGTCACAGCTTGCAACCGCAAGCATCCAACTCGGTCGCATCCTACACAAATTTAACTCTTTCAACTGTCCGGTAGGAAGGGAAGGGGTTCAAAGCGTGTCTGAAACGGAGTAATACAAAGAAATCGAATATCGAAAATTTTCCTAACACTAATTACGACCGCGCTTCCCAGCAATAGAGAATCCCCCTCCTAATGGATTCGTTCAGCGCTCACCGCACTGAGATCTGCCGGTTTCCCAAAATAAGCAGTATACACTTGACCCGAGAGGGTTACGAGGTTCCGACTTCCGAATTTTGGGTGTCACTATATTCTTGCCCTAATTTCTCGGAAATTCGTGACTCCCTTCTCTTTTTCTGCTTTTGTGGGCCGTTCTTAGCTCGCGACCTAGAGACAATTCTCGCAATCACTCATAGAAAGTGGATTAGGGGTTTGTATATAGACGACAAGATTCTGAGTAACTCGATAGTGAAGAAAAAGCAGAAAAAACATGCCTATCTGCCCTAGATAGAACCCCATTTGATCCAATCTTGTACGTGCCTAATTAACTCCATCTCCAACATGAACGTGCCCAATTAACTCCATCTCCAGCACTACGCCCTCATCCGCGCGGCTGAGATAAGAGTCCTGCAGCTTCGGTTTTCACTGAAAGGCAGGCCTTGAAGGCGGAGTCTGGAGGCGGAGTCACTGATCCTCTATTGCGC